ACTCTCTCTCTCTCTCTTCCTCCCTCTCTCTGTCGTCTGGCTCGCATTTATCCGGCATACAATTAAAATCTACGGGTCAGTTAATCGGTGTGGCTGCGTCGACCAAGAGAGGAACGAGAGCGGTCTGCCTACGAATCGGAATTCGGCTTCGTTTTAATGCACATACTAACAAGCACGTGGATGCTCGTTAACGCGAGAATGCAAGATAGCCCGCGTTAACGAAATTTACGGAGGGAGTCGCCGAGTAACGAGTTTGGGTATCGAAGGCGATCGAAGACACTTTTAATCCATGGATCTCGTTTCGAGAAGGAACGGTGGAGGATACGAAGGATATTTCTTGATGCTATGGACTTTTGGGGATGATTTGGAAAAAAAAGAAAAAGTGATAGCCTATTTTATAATTCGATTTCCATGATGATGAGATAATCATGCGAAAGACGGTGAGACGGTGTTGGACATTGCTCGCAAGAAAGCTTACTGTCTTTTCCTTATTATGTTTCTCGCATAATTATTTTATTTCAGGATCGGAGGAGAAATTCAGAAAAGTTTATCATCACGAATGATATGTTACTTTATAATTTACAATTCGTTGTAAATTCGAATCGATAAATGTTGCGAATAAATATTGTTTGGACGGTAGCTCTCGGCCTTTAATTTCTATAAATGACATATAATTTCCACCGGAGGAAGCCTTAAAAGGTTTTGCACGCGCTTCGCAACACATTGGCAAGATACCATCCTGGTAGGGTTCGATCGGATTAGCATAGATTTCCGCGTTCTCCCGAGGAAAAGGCGCGTTGTGAATCCGGAATTAGTCGGAAATAAATTGCACTTTTGCCAATGGAGAAGGAATAATAAACGGCAAAACCGATATATCACGCGGAGAATCAAGAACGACTTCTGCACAAACAAGTTCCTTAAACGGCCAAATAAAAACAACGTTTCTCCGTAACGTGAAAACTATTCTATAACTTCATTAAAGAAGTAATTCTTATCTATCTCTTAAAAGGAGATCGAAACAAAAACGAAATTTTGATCTCATCTCGTTTCTAATTCTTTGCTTCGATTCTAACGAAATTTTGCGAAGTTGTAAATGAAAATTACGAGGAGAAGGACGAATCCCTAAATTTCTATCGATCGTCTTTGATTCTCTTGATTCTCCCCGACCGATCAAGAGGAGATCTAATCGAAGGGGGTTGCGAGGGGTTTCTGCGCGTGAAAATCGCTGTTAAAACTAGGAAGTCACGGATCGATGTTGACGCACTTTAACTTAACCCGACCGACGATTTACGAGCTGACATTTTTCTCCCCCTCCCTCCCTTCCTCCCTCCCTCCTTTCCTTTTTTTCTCTCTCTCGTTGCCTCCCTATCCGCTGAAAGATCGGCACATAATGAGGCTTAACGATCGCCCCGAGAGCACGTTGACGCGCAACCGACCTCCTCACGAACCCGACGAAAAATGAATACTTGATTCACGGCGCGCATGCACGCCACCGTTCTCCATCGCGGAGGAAAAAGCAGCGTGGGGTGGAATCGATATTCTCGCGGAGTTCCTTCGTCCCTTTCTCCGCAAGGCCGGACCCCTTCTGCATCTCGCTCTTCCGCTTCCTGTTTGCACAACTCACGCTGCGTGACGAATCGCCAATCTTGATTGAACGAGAGCCAGAAGAAGGATCATTTAATCTCGTTCACGAGCCATTAAAATATTGTTCAATATCGTTCGACGAAATATTAATCTCAGATCGAATCTCAGCCAGAAGAATTAATTTTGTTTAAATGGAATATATTGTAACTTCGTGTGACGAATCGCCGATCAGCCGGGAGGATATTTTAATTTGGCATTGGAATATTTTTATTTATTTTATCATAGCAATAGAACGGACGAAGCAGAGTTATGAGAATTTATTTTATGAAGCCTCGAATCGAAATTTTCAATTATGTATTATATCGTACATTATACGAAGATGTTATAATTCAATCGAGAGTAATCGAAAATCTCTAACGTTTCTGTAAATTATTTTTTTCCCCCGAGATTCTTTTCCTTCGTTAAACCCGATTAGTCGCAATGATACAACGATTGGCCCTATCTATCTTACCACTTGACCTTGATTTCTTTCTTCTCACAAGCCTTCACCTTTAATTAATCAAGATTGATACGTGTGCGCATGACACGCGTCCCTTCGTTAAAATATTCCAAACAAAAGAAATCTTTACACCGGCAAATGAGATAAAAGGCAAACAAGGCAACGATTTGTTTCCCGTAACTCGAAATTAATCGGAATTACACGGACCGGATTCAGCCACGGAATTCAACTACAACGTTCCTCGTTTCCATTCGATTGAATATGTATGAGAGTAATGAGGAATTGCTCGAAGAAGAAGAAAAAAAAAAATAAGAGGGAGGAAAGAAAAAAATTGGCTCGATCCGTGGTCGATTAATAATGCACGCGAGACTAGTTGGAAGGCATTAGCCCCGTTTCTCCCATAACTCGCCGTTAAAGATGAAATCGGATAGATAGATAGATAGATAGATAGATAGGCCTGTACAATGTATCGAATGGGGATTGTTACAACGGTGCATTACCGTAATAGCGGCGATCATAGCCTCGCGATTGATTTATCCAATGCCCGGGAAACGATCACGAAACAACACGAAACGTTTTGGACGAACGCTCTTGGGCTGCGCCCGATCGAGGATGATCAAAGGAATACTTGAGAAAACGAGAAGAAGAAGGTACGAAAACACTGAGCAGAAGAAAGAAAGAAAGAGTGAGAGAGCGTGAGAGAGAGAGAGAGAGAAGAGGATCGAATTGGCGAAGACGAAGTCTCTAGAGGTAGAGGCCGGTGCGCGAGGAAAGCTGGCAGTTTCGAGCCGAGAGAAATAAACGAAGTATATAAGAAGGGACCTCGGGGGAAGAGAAGCTAAACGTGGTAGGAGCTAAGAGCCGGATCATCTAAGAGCCAGATAGAGGAATCAGAAAGAACAGGCGGAACGTGCTGGAGACAGGAGGAAAGAGAGAAGGAGCGAAGAAGAGAGGGAGAGAGAGAGAGAGAGAGAGAGAGAAGCGAGATGAAAGGAGAGGAGGAGAGGGTTAAAAGTGGAGGAGCGGGGGGACGAAGACAATCTGGAAAGCCAACGCGATAATGTCTGGAGGGGATGAATCGAGCGCGAGGAGGAAGAAGACGAACGCCGTCCGACTAAAAAGGACAAGCGAACACAGGGGCAGCGTACTGGATCACCGGACGAAGCGGTTAGAGGAGCCAGAAGTAAAACGGAGAACGTTCCGTCCAGGTGGAAGGAAGAAGAGGTGGTGGTCGGCGAAGGGGGAGAGAGAGAGAGAGAGAGAGAGAGAGAGAGAGAGAGAGAGAGAGAGAGAGGAACATAAACGGAATAAACACGAAGAGACCACGGGGAGACCGGAGGTCTGCGACTGCGGGTGCGAGTGAAGGAGGAGGAGGAGGAGGACGAGGAGGAGGGGGGATATACGCGATACGGCGAGATCGGAGGTGGAAGAGGAACAGAGAGGGTCGGGAAAGGTGTTGGAACGGGAGTAGGAAGGATAAGTTGGGCAGAAGAGGGGAAAGCGAGTTCTGGGTTGCCTATCAGCACTTGGTTCCACGGAGTGGTGGAAGGTTGGGCGGTTACAGGTTGGCAAGTTCTCGTGGCAGCCGGCAGATGTCGAGTGGTCGCGCCCCTAGACAGGGTCTTCACCCCTGAAAAGGTCAGCTCAGGGGCGTAGCGGTCGTGGAATCGACGCCCAGAAACGCCCATCGTCGACCCTCCCGCCGCTTCCTCGCCGCAGACGCTTCGCGGCAACCAACTGGACAACCAGCCCGGCCTGGATCCACAGCGTCGCACAACGGTTCCGTTGAAACCCGCGTCTACCAGCGCCGTACAGGAACACGACTCTCCACGTTTCGTCGTCGATCGTCGTTTCGTCGAGCATCGTGTCTCTCCTCGCCCCGATTATTCGTGCCCACGCCACGTTGACGAGCCCCTGGCCTCGGTTTCCTCCTCGTTCCAACGGTGCGGCGTTTGGTGCGCGTTGTCGTTCCGTTCGATCTCCACTCTTTCCACGTTCGGCCTGGGTTCGAGGGGCCATCCGGGTTCAAGGAGGGGCGCGAAAGTGAGAGTGCGATGGATTATGGACGTATCGAGAGGAGTTCAAGGCGGTACGACAGGTCAGTGATGCCTAGGGACCTCGGCGAGGACGATACCACGGCTCGTTCTCGGTTGGGCTGTCGGTCCAAGTAATGAACTTGCGCCGGCACGAGTGGACCGGTTCTTAGTGCGTATCCCGCTCGAACAGGTAGTTTCGCGACGAAGATGGGAGATAAATACGAAACTCATCGTGGCAACCCGTCATGAACTGGGCTGAACAGTGTCCGTCGGCAAGATACGCTTACGCAGGGGGAAGAGTACGCTTAGTGATTGGGCAGTAACAGATTAACCGAGGCGCGTGTGAAATATCTCCAAGTTTCCGGCGAAAGAGAAAAGTGCGTCTTGCGGTAGAATCGTATACGCGATACTATGCGATTGAGGAGGTACCGGGAAGGATCCGATCGACGAGTTAATGATCCACGGACGGCCTATGAACGGACAGGTGTCCCGTGCGAAAATGACGATCCCTCCTGGAAGCGTGCAACGGACGGAATCCGTTAGGTAGGTACTTGAAACTTGTCCCGAAACTTGTCGGACCGACAAGCGGAACGAAGGATAAAACGGAGACGAGAAAGAAAAGTCCTCGACCTCGTCGTCATGGGAGGATCATCAAAGTCGAGCGAAGCTTAACTTTCTCTTCTTCCTCTTCTTCCTCTTCTTCCTTTTCCTCTTCCTCTTCCTCTTCCTCTTCCTCTTCCTCCTCCTCTTCTTCTTCTTCTTCTTCTTCTTCTTCTTTCCGATCGACTCGACGCAAGGCGCGCAAGGAAGGAATTCGGTTCCGAGAGAGGAGGGAGGAAAGCAAAAGTAAAAGAAAAAAAACTAAAGAAACACGTGGAAACATGTCGAATACGCCGCCGGAAGCGTCGACCGGTTTAGATTCGAACGATCTCCACCACGAGATCGGCAGGCAGAATCACCTGGCGACTCGGTTGGAACTCGACGACTCCGAGAAACGCGATCAGATACGAGGAAGCGACGGCAACAACCCTGACAGCGATTGCGAAAGCGACACCAGCGAGGTGTTGAGCGTCGGTAGCGAACCGACGCCCACGAGCGTCGTTGGAATACGTGGTTGCGGCTCGGTCAGGTATGACCAGGAATCGGCGAGCAGCCGTGGCGGTGACTTTCGAGACGAGGAGAACACGAGGACATCGGCCACACCATCGCCTTCTAGCTCAACGAGCTGCAACGACGCGTTCTATCAGAGGACGGCTAATCACGTCTCGGCACCTAGTCCACCGGCTTACAGCCAACCACCTTCGTCGCCCACGGCGTCCTCGGTCAGGTCACCGGCTTCCTCCTCGGCCACCGCCTCCTCCCCGGGTCGGCCCGAGGCCGTTCAAGACGTCATAGTGCCCAGGTATCAGTCCAATCATCCGCCGCATTTGTTACCGCGTTATTCGTCGAGGGAGACCGAGATCCCCGATTATCCGCCTCGAGTCCAGCACAGCCTGAGCCACGAGATCGTTTACCCGACCGTGGAGAGGTTGCACAGGACCCCGATCAGCGTTCCGTTGGTCACCAGGCTGTCGTTGTCGCCACCGTCGGCCATGACGGTCGCCGGTCTCCAGGCCACCACCCCTGTCCTCCATCCAACCGCGTGCAGGGATCCACGGGAAACGGCCTCGTTGATGCCGCATCCGGGCCAGCAACACTTGCACCACGCCAACAGCCACGTCCACCTTCATCAGACGTCCCAGGTGCAACACGTACCCGCAAACTCGGTGCACCAGCACCGACTCTCGGTCAGCAAAATCCTTCAGAGGGAGCCTGGCAGCCCTGCCTCGCCCGGCCCGAGGGAGGAGAACGGGAGAACGATCCACGGTGGCGCGAACGGTGTTCAGAATAATGGGATCAATAACAGTAACCATCATAATAATCACAACAACAACAACAACAACAACAATCTGCAGCACCAGGCCGGCTTGAAGTTCAGTATAGACAACATATTGAAAGCGGACTTCGGCAGAAGGATCACAGATCCCATTTCCTTGAAGAAATCCCGGCCGAAGAAGGTCAGCTCGAGGCCCATCGACCTGACCAAGGACTTTCTAGAGTCGGCCACCGAGACCACCGAGAAAAGTAGCTCGGAAACTAGCTCGACGACCAACGCCACGTCCGTTACCACCGCCAATCCTGCCTCCAACACGCCCGGACCACCTGTAACCGATCCTGGAAAGCAGTTGCCTTGGCCTGCTTGGGTCTACTGCACCAGATACTCGGATCGACCTTCCTCCGGTGAGTTCTCTTCGTATCCTCTGTATTCTTCGACCAACGAAAATATCGTAACGCGAAACGATCTTTTTTAACGATCGACGGTACGTGTGCATACGCAGACCTATAGACAGATGAATCGTTGTTCGATTCGCATCGCGTAAAAGTAAAAAAATTCCAACTACATGGATAGCGTATTACGGATTAATTGATCCTTACGCGACGAATTTTTACAAATTTTCTACAACATGCGAAAGTTAAAATGGTCTCGCGTTACGTAACATTCTTCTTCGAATCGATGGGAAGAGATATATCGGTCAACGGGTTTGAAAAGATAGATATTCGTTTGAACGGTGGAGATAAAGCAAATGGTATTAATCGACGATCGTTTTCCGCATCTCGTGGTTCGACATTTACCGTTTGTGAACCTTTTACAAAATCGACCGATCTTTTTCGAACGAAAATTACGAACGAGCGAACGACTAATGGATCGGGCCGATAATGAAATTTCTCATTAGGCCCGATGGATATAACACGATTCGAATAGTCGAAAGTTCATCGACTAAGATTCAACGGTATGAAAGAATAATATGTTTCTCGGCCTCGGAAAAAGAAATCGTTGTTACGTAATCGTGGTTACGGTTCTCCGCTGTTCCGTCACGATCTCGACAATTTTATTCGGATTATCGGCAGCTGGATACTTTTTATAAACTAACCAAGTTAACTAATTATCCCACGGATCCTGGCAAAATTAAACCACGCTCGACATTGGCCGATGCATAAATAATTCGTTTCGTTCTCACGAAACGCACGATTCACGCTTGCGACGAATAAAATAAAAGATGACCGATTTTAATTGAGATATCAATAATTCATCTGTGGTACGACGAAAGAGCGGAGAAAAAAGAGAGAGGTGAATCCCACGTTGTGTATATAAACGCGCAAGTGTGTAAGACTTAATCGATTGATTAAGATGTACGTTTAATTAGCGCGACAAGACGTATGATTTCACGTAAAAATTACCATTCCAACCCGAGCCCATCCCCGCTCCATCAATTTCTATTCCTTGAATATTCAACGAGAGCCTTTTCAACCGGGCAGACCCCCGGGATCCGATCGAAACTTCCTTCCTATTAAACCGGCTAATTAGAGATTTATTTTGTCGCGTAGGGAGCCGCCGTTGGCGGAATTGTTTCCCCGGTTTCGCACCAGATGGATGACCCTTTGAAACGACACAGGAAAACGTGTAATTACTTTACTCGCCGGCCGAGTGCCAGCTTGATGAATGGTAGAAAACGTTCCTTCGTGTCACTCATATCTGATATACGCTCATTGTCAGGAAACAATTGTTAACCAACTCGGAGAAATAAGCTGCTCTCTGCCCCATAAATCAACGGGCGATATGCAACCAACTATTTCTCTCTTATTTGCTTTCGTACGCGACAACAACAATTTCCTATAGGTTATTCAGTTGTCGTATTCTTATGCAAACCATCGGTAAATAATCGCACCCTATTAGATCGGTTTTCTCTCACAGTGGCGCGGCGGTGGCCATCGATGCTCGCTTCGTCGTAGTCTTTCGTTGTCCCTTTTCGCGCCCCTCCCCGCTGAGAGTTATCGAGCTGTCCTCGCCTCGATCGCATTGCGTTAGAAAAAAATCCAACTTCGCCTCGCCACCCTATTGTATTTTAATAGTCGGCCAAGTGCGGGGAAAATGGTTGGTAATGGGAGTGCCACGAATTTCTCACGGATCATTTTTCCATCGACGCACGCACACTTTCCCGTGTGTTTGATCCATGTGTCGAGCTCTCTCTCGTTCGAAAGTTGTTCTGGAAACTTTGATCCTCGTGGTGGACCTGTTCTTTTTCTTCTAATCGAGAATAATTCTCCCCCCTCCCCCGATAAACTTAAGAGACGATTATCGAGAAGATCATTAGCCGGATTATTAGCTTGTTTATACGTTATTAAACGTAGATACGTTATCAACAACTTTTTGTACAATTTTAAGTTATTTAGAGTTGGAAATGGGAGGAAGAATTGTGGTTAATTATCATATTTGTAAAATTACCAATCGGAAAGGGCTTAAGAAAATTAGATGGAATAGGTCGTATCTATCTTCCGTGTTACTTTTCACTTACTGTTTCACTTCGAGTAATCGATCGATTCAAAGATAACGCTACTCTGACCTGTCGTCGTCGCGTTCTCGTTGCGATCTTTTCTATGAATGAAGTCGTATCGGCCGATGGAACACATAAAAGTGTTAAATTCCCGATTAATAACCGGTAGTTTTTTTTCTCTTTTCTTTTCTTTTCTTTCTTTCTTTTTCTTCTTTTTTTTTTTTTTTTTTTTTTTGCGTGACCGGTTCTCTCTGCCGAACGAACAAACGACAATATTGGATCACGTTCCTATTATGTCTTTACAGCGCGTAATTTCGCGGCCGACAGATAAATAGTCCGTTGAAACGGCCACGATAAAGCTTAATCACTGTTATTGCACCGGTCGGTGCGGCTATCGCAGGTTGGGGACACGATCACGGCTGTGTACACGTTCTTTCCGCACCCACGCGCCAAGCCCAATATTCCGACACCGGCGGATGTCAACTGTGTTGCTTTTCGAAGAAATTGGGAAATAAGAGGAGAGAGAAAAAAAAAAAAGAAAAATATCGTGAATACCGAATATTCGAAAATAATATTCGAAAATAATATTCGAAAATAAAGGAAATAAACGTTACGTTTGAGTTACGTGAAATTTGACGAACAGATTCTATTATAAATTCTAATTTGAAATATCTTTACATAAGTTTCAAACGTGACGAAGAAAATATGTTGAACGAGTATAAGATTGATTCGAGAGGAAATGTACAGTTTAACTTTCGATTTCTTAAGGATTAATAATAATAATAATAACAACAATACGAGGGAAACGAGAAATTTACAACAAGTTGCGGATTACATTACACGCGCTACTCTTTCGCAATAATAGAAAAGAAGAAAAAGAGAGGAAAAAAACGGAATGTTTTAATAATCAAACTTCTCGCTCGCCGTGTGACAAAATTTATTAACACCGGTAAACTTGTAACCGACGTCTTGTATAATTCCGCTGATAATATTAATTCGATCGTACGACAAAATCCAGACGGGGACTCTGTCGGGGATATCGACACGAAGCCACTTTATGGAAGAGTGGAGGCCTAGTGTAACGAGCGGGAGATCTGCAGCAAGGGACGAGCAAGAAATATCGCGTCCGATCTGGTTCTCCACGGTGACTTTATAATTTAACACTTTGCACTCCGGTGAAAAATGCCGGACGGTGTTAATGGTGCTTTATTGCCGGTCAGTCAAATCAAACGAGATACGCTTATGAGGCGGCGTGCCGCGGACCACCTTATCACTCGGATAAATTCGTTATTAATTACCTCGACCGGCCGTTTTACGATCCCTACGGGACAGGAGACACGGCTCTCGAGGAAAGCGGGATCGAGAACGAGTCGGGACGGGACGAGGCCGGCTTGTCGTTAAGTAGAATTAGAATTTTAGCCGGACGATCATCTCGATTAAATCGAGCGTGTTTCTCGAGCGAGACTCGAGTGAGAATTACTTGGAATTATGCAACTCTTCTGCGACCCGATATATATACCAAATCCTTCCTCGTTTCCATTACGCGACTATTAAGTATCGTAATTATACGATCGTTGTTCATTCCTCGTAAATTATTTCGCACGATTTGAATTTGGTATGATGGATCGAGCAACGAGATCTGTACATCCCAAGAGATTCCTTTTTAAATATTTCTCCGGGACGCGAAACGAATGCACGCAGTTGGGATACGTTGATTGCCACCTCTGGACCCGATAAAACTGCGAATAATCACCGTGTTACATACGTTTGAGGAAAGTTATGGTTAATTAGCTCTGCCGGTACGTGGCGGAAGATATTTCCATTAACGGGACACAAGGTGGGAAAGAGATCGTTGCCTTTGCTGAAAGTCGGGGAGGAGAGAAACTATGGTGTATTAGTCACACATGGCTCGCGATAAATGGCCGATATTCGCGACAAATGGGAAATGATTGCTCGCTAGCTTAACGAGGAGAAAGGGTCGCGAGCTTGTTTCGATTACCGGAAACTGCCTGTAATGCGCGCAATTTTTAACGAGACGTTTAAAATACGCTTTACGGGAATACGAGAAAGGAATATTTACAGGGGGGACGAAGTAGATTGGAATTGGCGTACTTTGTATTTTAACGCAATTTTTAACGGCTCGTAAATAACGCGCAAAGCGAAACAATGCGCGGGAAACGATACGATAAAAATTAATATTTATCGCGAGGAATTTTTAATAGTTGAACTCAACTTGAGTTTACCGATCTCGGCAAATAAATCTTAAAGTGTTAAAAATTCATCTATATCCCCTGTGTAACCGACCTATTTACGAATCCTGTGTATACGCCCATAAACTCATTTCTTGCATTCGAACGAGAGAGCTCATTTCGGGTGAAACGAGGCTGAACGAAATAGCGCGCCGTTTAACACGGCGTATTTCATTCCTCTCCCCGATCTATCAGATTTAGAAATCAGATTCTCCGATTGTTTCGAGCAGTGCATTTAACACGGCACGTTTTATCAATACTTTCCCCCGCAGGATGAGAAGAAGAAGAAGAAGAAGAAGAAGAAGAAGAGGAAGAAGAAGAAGAGGAAGAAAAAGAAAAAAAGGATCCCGCGGAAAAGAAAAGGAAAAGGAGATTATTATTAGCTTCGGGCCGCGAATAAGATCCGTAACGGCGTTGCATAATTAAAGGAACGATCGAAGCCGCGGGCGATCGGCCGATAAAAAGGCGAGTCGCGAGGTATATGGCGATAAATCAACCTTTAACGAAATGCTCGCTACGAAATAAAGAGACATTAATTTGCAAGGCTGGTTCGCGTCGCTCTCTCTTCCCTTTCTAACTATATACCCTTGTTCAACTGATTGGACAAGACAACCGATACGTGTACACGGGGTGAACGAAAGAAAGAAACGGGCAAACT